GACAAACTTATACAGAGGATTATGTTCATAATTTCACCAATAAAATCTTAACAAAAACAAAACAAAAAACCAGAACTTTGTGTTGTTCGTACAATGTCGGATTTTGTATTTTTTTGGGTTTCTTTCTTCCCTCCTCCTCTCTCTCTTTTTCTCCAACTGATTTAAATTTAGATAATTATCAGCAACGGCATTAAACTGTAACAAATACTGTGAACCCTAAGACTCTAAATTTGAAAAAAAAAATGGATGAAATTTTACAGTACGGTAAAAACGAAGAGATTTTTCACCGCCTGTAAAACTTTCTTTATTATTTTGTTTCTGACAGGATAATTGAAAAAGGTTACGAGTAATGGGCGTTAATTAATATCCCCCACGGATAGGATTAGAATAGCAACAAGTCCCCTATTTTTACTGCAGTAACTAGTTAAATTGAAAATGTCCTTAATTGGAATTTCCTAGTTTCATTGGCTGGGATAAATTTAAAGGGGCTGATGGTTGCGACCACAAAACTCTTAACTTGATTTAAAAAAAGTTACATTTTTTATATTTGATTAATTAAATTTAATTTGTAATTTTATAAATTTGATTCGATTTAAAAAAAATTAAATTTAAATTGATTTGTAAAATAAAATTCGAAAACTCAAAAATTTTTGTAATTAATGAATTGATTTTTAAGTTTAAATCGAGTATCTTAACTCTACATGATACATATTACATATAAAAAATATATGTATATTGTATATGATTATAGAAAACCGTTTAAATTGGAATTTAATAGTATTAGAATATTATAAATATTTACAAATTAAATTTAAATAGAAACTTAAACAACTTGACTCAAATTTCATAAATTCGACTCGACTAAAAAAATTCAAATAAAGTTTAAGTTATAAAATAGAACTAAATTAAACATGTGATAAAAGTTGAAATTTAAACTGTGAATTTTAAGAAGTTTAAGCACTAGTGACGTAATTTACTATTTTTTTAATTTGCTAATGAGAAGGAAAACTAAAAATTGAACATATAAACGAACATGTTCGTTATTGCTAAATGAACATGTTTGTGAACGAATAAACGAACACCTACGCGAACATATAAAAGAATATATTTGCGTACATTAAATGAACATATTTGCGAACAATAAATAAACGAACACGAACATCTTCAAAAATAAATAAATAAACACAAATATAATATTAAAACTTTGAATGAACATGTCGAACATGAACACATATAAAAATAAACAAATGAACATGAATATAATTTTATTCTTTTTTACAACCCGATAGGGATAGGTGGGAGCTTTGATTTAATTGGGAAAAATATTACGAGTTATTTAAATTGATGAGTTATATACTTATATATAATTTTTTTAATTTAATTTATTTACTAATTGAATCAAATGAAATAAAATATAGACTGAGTTAATTTTTAAAAAATATATATATAGATTGAGATATCGTTAAAAATATACATTATAAATTAAGATAAATAAATAAATTTAAAATCATATTTATTTAAAATTCTCACAGACTAAAATAAGACAAAAATAAAATCTTTTAGTATATGATAAATCTGATTTGATAATCTATTTATCTAAGACGTTGAATTTATTATTTTGGAAAAAATAACATATATAGAGAGAGAGAGAGGGGAACCGATTTGTATATTTTTAAAATTTAATAAGGATTTAAGGAGTATTTATACTAATTTATTATTTAGTTTACCTGATTTACTTGAGGTGTAAAATTTAATTGGATTCGAACTTTAAAATGTAAATAATTCAAATAATTCAATTAGAAAATTTGAATAACTTAAAGTTTAATTGCAAGAATCTCAGTTACTTTAATGGTAAATAAATTGTAGTTATTTCTTGAGGTCTCATGTTTGAGCATCAGAAATGTTGGTACAAACTTTCAATGTCAAAGGATTAAGATTTATCTTTGAACTTACCTCATATTATTTAAAGAAAAAACTCAAATTTGAATTGTAAGAGGGAGAAAAATAAATTAATTTATTTGTAAATTGTATTTTTTTTAACGCTCAACAAACTATCTAACAAGTACAAAAAATTTCAAATAAAAAATATAAAAAAATATTAAATACTCAAAATAAACATAAAAGAGGATCAAAATTCATTCTAATCATCTCTATCTTATAAAAAATAATAAAAGAAAAATTACATGAAAATTTTAAAAAATAATCAATTCCGTGTAAGCATCGCCATTAATTAATGATGGGATCGCCAAAACAAAAATAAAATATGACATAGCAATAATTTTGAAAAATAATGCTAATAATTTGTTGACAAAAAAGAAATGAAATAAATAGATAGTGATTAAATAAATAATTTATTCTCTTTTCAATTATATATAGACTAAATTTTGGGCCCATCTGCCCAGGCTCAGTTATGATCCTGCTCGGTACTATCTTTTTAAGAGATTGTATGAGTTCATACAAACCCTACGGGGGTGACCATGCATGTTTAGCAAGGACCATATTGGTGTTCCTCGTTGTGTGCTTAATTTGCACAATCCAATCTCGAGCTAGGTATAAATCGTTCCCAACTTCCTCGCAACCTGGAGGCCCTTATATATTCCCTGAAGCTCGACTTCAAGTGACATATATATATATATATATATATATATATATATGGCAAACCCCATTATCTAGTGACCCTTGTAATTAGGGTGGTCAAAATTAGGTATCCGAAATTTTCGGGTATTAAAATATCAGCTTGTTTCCTAGTTCATTAAGTTTGGATATCCGTAAGTCGGATATACATAAAATTCGAGTACTTGTATTTTTGGATCATGAGTATCGATTCATTTTTTTATTTTTTTAATTATATTATTTTTCTAAAAAGAGTTACATAAAAGATATAAAATTTAAAAGTCTATAATACTGAATCCACTCATAAAATTTAAAAAAAAATTAATTACATAATTAAATATAAAACTTGTTAAAAATAAAATTAAAGAAAACCAATTAAATTTAAAATATTTTGAAGTTAAAAGAAATATTTGAGAAATAATTTAGATCGTCAGGGTTGAAATAATTTAAGAAATTAATAATTTAGAATGATATGGTTAAATAGTTTTAAAAAATTAGAAATTTAAAACGTTAGGGTAAAATAATTTAGGAATTGGAAATAAAAAAAATATTTAAGAAATTGGATACTTGTTCGACATGTACCCGATTAAAGGATATTTTGTGATCAGGCCTGACCCTAAAACCTGAGAAAAATAACATGTCAAATACCCAACCCACGAAATCATATATTTTTATTATAAATAAGCGATATTTTTTAACCTGATCGACGGGTCGAGTGTTTTTAGCACCCCTACTTGTAATCCCTTATACCTCCTCCGCATGTATCATCACCTGAGGTGGTTCTCCGTGCACCATCGGAGTCAATTTTGCAGCATGGAGCTTCTGGTGACTGTCATCTCTCTAAACAATGTTTCTGCATGAGGTCATGAATAAGGGTTAATGTATTTCTTGCACTAGTAATCATCTTCTTCGCTTTCTCTAAACTAGATTCATTTTCTATCATCTTTGGCTCGAAAATGACTTTATTTCTCCTTTCTCATAACGTCACCTGCTTCGTTGTCCAGGTGATATCGATTTATCAGATTTTTCACAATCTCCTGTGTATTCATACCCTCTAATTTTTCAGAAAATTTATTTTTAGCTCTTAATTATTTATCGTCTTTTTATCTTCAAATTGAAATAATTAATAAAAAATAATATTTACTTGACATCATCTATTTCCCTTTTTCTTAAATGTATCTTAATATTTGGATAAATTGTACCATTTTTAATATCTTCACAATTTTATATAATTTACCATTTTCCTGAATTTAATTAAATAACTTATGCCAACTTAATGTCAAAAATAATCAATGCCAACTAAATTGGAATGCTATTTTCCGATTGCTTATAATTTTTTTTTAAATTAATCATTGGTGTCTGATTTATTGACCGACTAATTCAGATCGAGTAATACGAGACGAGGGCGACCCACCAACTTAATTGGAATGCTATTTTTCAATTGCTTTAATTTAATAAATATTAAAAATTAAAAAATTAAAATAACTTTTTATTCCCTATAGCTCGAGATACAATATCATTAGACCGATTGTTTGAGATTACGAAGTAATTCAAATCTGATACACGTTTTGAGTAAATGTAGACCACCAATGAATCATGGGTCAACAATTGATTAAATTCAGACACCAAGTCATTGATGTACGGCTATAATTTTGTGATATTCATCATGCTATTCATGGACGGTTAACCATATATTTTAATCTAAACGATCGGTTAACTGTTATAACGATTACGAGATTTTTGTAAATATAGCTTAACTTTTAAGAAACGCTATTAACTATTCGGTTACAAATTCACCTGCAGTTAACATATTATAATTATTTTTCAAAAATAAAATAACATAAACACTTTAAAGTTTCATATTTCATACTATAAAAAAATATAGTAGTTAACACATACTTTTACCCATGTAAGTGAATAAAATAAAGTATGACACTTAACACAATTATTTTATGTAAGTATGTTTTTGTATTTTTAAAGAAATAAAAAATTAAAGTAATAAAAATATATTAAGTTATTTTTGTACAAACGGAACTAAAATTGAAGATTGTTCAATAAATTTTTAGGAATAATGCTAAAATTTATTCTAATTCTATTAGTATTTTCCCAGAAAAATATAATTATAAATTTAACTTATTAATCAATAATTAACCGTTTATCAAAATTCGTAACCTTAATCTTAATCGTTAACCATAATTTTTAGTGGTTCGATTAACCGATATTGTTTAGCATTAATGGTTCGATTAATTAACTTATTAAATGTAACGATTATATCGGTTAACAATTACGGTTAACGGTTATAGATTTTTTTGAACACTCCTGATATTCATGAAATATTTAGACTGCTCCTAATTTTACTCTCCTAAAGTATCAAGAACAAACAGCTAAATCACCTGAATTACATCGTAAAGGTCATATTCCTCAATGAGATGTTGGAAATGTCGCGACAAGCTCGTATAAAACAGATCCCCTTTCTCAAGTCAGCTTTGAGGATAAACTTCAAGAAAGAAACCCAGATTGTTTCCTTGCGCTTCAGCTCGGCTTTCCGACAATGCGATGATCCAGTAACACCGGACATGGACCAGTCCCTTCAATAGAATTAGGTTACAACTCCTTTGTCAACACTAAAAAGGCCATAAATGTCACTTGTCACAGCCACTGTGCTTGTTGAGACAGCAAGGAAGATCATCATCCATGATATTAGTCTATCATTCTTTGTTGCAATTCCATGGGTGTCCCTGCATAAAGTGCATATTAGAAACCGTTAATTACTTGATTACCACATTTCAAACAAGGTTGATGATAAAATCCCATGTTTATTAAATGCAAGTTTTGTTATTTCCTTCGATCAGGTTCTAGTTTCACTCGTGCTATCATATCGATACCAATATCTTCCCCAGGAAGCTCTATTTAGGGCCAATGAGCTTCACTACTAGATTTCATGTATTCTACTCTGACATAAACATACAGTCCTCTACCCTTTAGCAAGCATTACCATTGATAACTTCATATTCAACAAAACGTGCTTATATAACTATTACTCACCGAAGAGTGATGGCAGCTGGAAAGATATAACTAACACAAACTGCGGCAGTTGCACCGGTGAACTGGAAAGCATCCCAGATGCTAGGAATAAAGTTGGCTCCCACAAAGATGAAGCCCATTAGAGCAACTGTTGTTGAGATGAACCTTCTTTTAGAAATTGCAATAGGAATGGCATACGGAAATAACAGACCATCTATGTTGAGACGAAGGGAGAAGAACACAATTGGGAAAACAAGCATCAAGTGAAGGCAATAGCTCAGCCTGATCAAATCATCAAGCAATGAACTATATGGAATCCCGAGATCAGCATCGAAATTGGCAAGCACATCATCCAAAATATGGTCTCCAAAGAGAAGGACTCCAAAAAAGCTAGTAGCAATGTAGATAGCAGTGCAAAATATGAGCGACTTTCTAACAATCAACTTCATCTGTGTAGGGTCTTTCAGTTCATTCTCTATTGGGAGTACTGCAAGTGTATCCAATACAAAAAAAAGGGGGTTATCCCAAGCAATCATACATTAAGAAATTAACAATCTTTAGCTACGCAAGAATGGGAGCTGTGCAGGGTACTTGAAAATTTGAACATTTATTTCAAAGGAACTCATACTAAATGATATAAGCAGAATCTCTCATCGTTTCATAAACAAAAAATGTCAAAGAATACACCATATGATAGCTAATATCAAAATACTAACAATCTTAAATGATAGTGCATGTTTGTAATTCTATGTAATGTTGAACCATAAATGGATCACTTGATCTTCGCGGAGTTCTTTGTATAAACTAAAACATAAACCAGTTTCATGCAAATTGTATGAAAATGAACTTAAACCAACAATTAAACAAAACCAAATTATGATAGTAAATAAATGATATCAGGACTTGGAAGTACCAAAGAATATAGAAACAATCGATCTGCAATGACTTACTATTATGATGGCATATATAAGCAGTGACTAGAACAGGAACAGTGGTGAAAAGCTTCCAAAACGATGCTTGATTATCAAGTATTGGCATTAAACGAGGCATTCCAATTTTTCCTTCCATCAACTTAACAATGGTAACTCCTGCTGTTATTGCCACAAACATCACTGCGAAACCAACTGATAATGCCGATGTGTACCTCAATGAATCTACAATCACCAAGTCAATTCAATCAAAAATAAGAAAAAAAACACTTTTTTCTTTGAAATTTTGAAATTTTGAAATGTAACCCTCTGCTTTAATTTTACGAATTTGGTCTCTTTGCCAGTTTGATTTAAAAATCAAACTATAATTAAACAACACTTTATATGTGTTATCAGTTAAAAGCAGAGCTTTTAAATTTAACAAAAGCCCATTAACAATATTATTCGACATTAATTTTTAAATCAATCAGACACATAGAAGGATTAAATTTTTGAAAGTAAAAGAAGATGAACTAAATTTTCAGAAGTCCGAAAAGTACAGGGAGTGGGGAAAAGTTTGACTAGTACCAACGCGTTTGAATGAGATGAGAGGGGCAAAAACGAAAAGCGTTGTGAACAAGAGCACAGCCGAACGAGTAGTCCACCAATGTTCGCCGAACCATTCTTCCAAAACTCCCATGTGGTGGAACCCATACTCCCATGTCCCCGATAACACGTCACCTGCCACCAATTCAAAATTCACTGCTAATCAAACGGCTATTAATCGTTCCACGAACCGTAATGCGTAATTATGTGTTCAAAGTTTACCAATGATAACCATGTAAACCACAAGCATGCCCGTGTTGTTGATGACGATGCAAGCTTGAAGGATATTTCGGCCAGCCCTACCAAAAGTGTCGGCGGCGACGCCTGAATACGTGGTGGATTTGGAGGCTCGACTGAATCTGAGAATCTTATCGATGGATGATTCCGTTAACATAGAGACGAATATGATCGCCACTAGACCGGGGATTAAGCCCAATTGGTTGACGGTGGCTGGAAGCGCCATGATACCGGCTCCAACGACTGTAGTCGAGAGGTTGAAAACGGCTCCAGAAATTGACGCCCCATGGAAGCTGCCTTCGGGAGACTCGAATTCTTGGTAGCCGATCTTTTGTGAGAGGAGAGCCGCTCGGGGACTCCGTCGGTGTTTACGGTCTGACAGCGTGGGCAGCATAGTCATTTTGAACCAGTTCGGTGGTTAAAGCCGTTGAATGAGGTCGAAGAAGAGACCTCAAAGTTGAATCTATGAAGTCCCCAATCGGCGTATAGTATATAATATATACACTACGGCCCTTTTGGAAGGGTCTTCACGCGGGATGGATGTATTGCGGCGAATGAAACGTCGACACGTGTAAATACCTTAAATTTTCTATAGAATGGAATAAAACGCAGCCAGCGAGGGAGGGCGGTGACGGCCTTTCTTTTTGGTGTGGCCTGTTTTATAGATAATAAAGATCAAAAGGGGACTGCTCCGGTGACAATGTGGTTACAAGAACCAAAAAACACCCGCTCTTTTCGTGCAACTTCTCTTATATTAAACTGCATTTTGTTTTACATAGTAAAACCAAAATTCTATTGGTGTATGTTCGGTGTAAATTACTTTTAAAATTAGATAGCTTTTTTTTTTTCTTCCAATTTGTGAACAGCTAGACTAACCATTAAAGAGTCCATAAATAAAACACTGTCCTTCGGCCAACCCTAGTCTGATTGTGGATTTAAATGGCCTATGACCAGAGTCTGTAGATCCTTATCGTGGAGCGTCACGGGTGGCTTCTTGCTCGCTCTTTAATTAGTTGCTTCCACCCTCATCACAATTTAGCTTTCTACAAAGCTGTGGTTTGAATATAAAGCGCCTGCACTTCACAATTTCACCCCCCCCCCCATAAGAGTTACCATCAGCAAAAGTAAGGGTAAGGAAAAAGAAGGCATCAAACCTTTCATTAGCTTCATCTTTGACAATTTTCTCGAATAATTCCGTACTAAATTTACTCCGAATATCTCAACTAATATCAAAGGGATGACCTTGACCATAGCACTCATACAAGATATGAATTTGTAAGAAATTGGTCGTCCAATTCCCATATATTTTGGCATAGTGGATAACACGCTGCTGGCTCAAGAAATGGTTGCAGGGTATGCAAGAAAATCACTATCTCCCATATGTACGCTCAAAGTGGAACTGTAAAAGGCTTTTGACAGCCTTAGTTGGGGGTTTATGTTGATGGTTCTAAAGGCATTGGGGTTGCCTGAGAAATTTAGAGATTGCATTCTCATTTGTTTAACTTTGCCTTGGTTCTCAATTGCCTTTAACGGTATTTTTGTGGGTTTTTTTAGTGGAGCGAGGGGAGTTAGACAAAGAGATCCGCTATTGTCTTACTTTTTTGTTCCATCTATGAGTGTGTTATAAAAAATGCTTGATGTTGCGACTTGTTATAGAATATCTAATTTTCATCCAAAGTGCAAGAAAATTGGATTGACTCATTGGCCTCCTTATATTTTCCAAGGGTTCTTTGGAATCCATTGTTGGAACTCATAGTGGTTTGGAGTGTTTTTATGAGTTATCAGGATTAAGGTTGAATGCGACAAAGTGTGACATTCTTTTTTGGAGTTCCTGCAGTTGAGTTTGAGAGAATTAGGTTGAATTCGAGATTCCGATTAGACTTCCTTCCTATTTTGTACTTGGGTGTGTCGTTGGTGACGAGGAGATTAATCGAAGAAGGATTGGTAGCCTTTATTGAACAACACAATACCAAGTTGGAACAATGGTCTAATAGGAAGTTGAGTTATGCATGGCGACTTCTGTTGGTTCGGTCGGCCCTGTTCAATGTTGTTAACTACTGGTGTTGACAGCTCTTACTCCCTAAAGTAGTGGTGAGGCGTATTGAGCAAATTTTCTCTAGGTTCTTTTGAAAAGGATTGGACACTCCCGCTTCAGGTGCCAAAGTGAGCTGGGAGAAGATTTGCTTAGTAAAATCAGAAGGGGGCCTTAACATCAAATATCTCTTCAGATGGAATAAAGCTTGTATGTCCCCAGTTGCTAAGGAAAATTCTTGTCATGGATGGTTCATTGTGGGTCGCCTGGGTTAGAGCCTATGTCATTAAAGAGGTTGACTTTTGGTATTTTGAGATTAAGGTTTCTTTGAGTTTGAGTTTGAAGAAGATCCTTAGGTTCGGGTGTTGTTTACTATCCCGAGGATTGTGAGTACTGGAGAAATTTGGTCTATCAAGCTTCTCACCAACCCATCTATCTGTGCCTTTCCCACATAAAACCGTACTCTATCTATTGAATATCTCTAAGATCACAGTCCCTAAGGCATTTGAATAAAAACATTAATCAAACAGCCCGGATGCTACCACCTCATACCTTCTCGTCAACGCTAACTACATCGTTGAAGTTACCTACGGTAGCACAAATAGATTTCGCCAAGTTCCATGAGGCCCTCGAGTGGAAAGGGATGTCAAATGCCTCCTTGGGTTGGGCTCGTATCAGGCTCATAGATTTTATAGTAATTGTAACAAATCACCAATGGAAAAAGAGAGAAAATATCACCGACAAGTCATTCCTACAAAATGACGGGCCAAATAAGATGCCATTTCCCCCATTATATTTCCATTTAAAGTAGCCATTGCCCATAGCTGAGCACAAAACATGTCGAGTGTCGACATCCCAATGTGCGAGAGAGCTCGTAGATTCAAACCAATATGAAGAAGACAAACAAATTTTGTCCAATGTATTTGGGACCATTACCTTACAATTCCTTAATTGTATTTGAATATGCCTTGTTTGCTCTTCTATTAATACCACAATAGTTCCCATTTGAAGCACAACGGAAGCATGATGGTTCAAATTGTAAAGCTATGTGCCAACAAATAGCAAAAGACAATGCAACCCAACTGGGCGCGGGTCGATCACTTGCTTTAGGAAAGTCGGTGATGCCTTTATCTTGTCCTAAAATAATGGAAGTCCATAAGGAATTCATTTATTTTTCACCTACTTTTCAGACTTCTCTTTTTTTTTTCCCCTTTAACAACCAATATTCATCATGAATGTTTTAGTGTTCGTGTTAATGATATTTTAGTATTTTTTCAATAATTTTATTTTAAAGATTCGAACATAAATTCCATCGTTAAAAATATAATATCTCAGATCATTGTATCTAATAAGATCCAATAATGATGTTAATAATTAAATAAAAGGGTAAATTGCATGTTTAGTACCTAAACTATCATGTTTTCTTTTTTATTTTAGTACCTAAACCTTCAATTTTTTTAAAATCATACATAATATTTAATTTTTGTTTCATTTTAGTACCCGCCGTTAAAAACTTAACAGACGGGCTCACCGACCGTCGCGTCTAAAATCATCAGTCCTAGCATCTATCGACTGATGAAGCCCAAACTTTTCAACCCATACCTTTTCGACCCTCTAAGTGTGATTTCGGCCTTCATTTCACCGAAAAATGCCTCAATCTCCCCAAATCGAATATGTACTCTTTGACTTCTTCATCCCTCGATCTCTGTCGTCAATTGTCTGATGGGCCTGAAATTGGACTATGTTGGTCGACTCATTATTCTCTTGTGGTCCACCGTTCGGATTGGTCGTCTGTCCACCAAAGTTATGCCCCGTCAGCCCGTCTGTTAAGTTTTTAACGGCGAGATACTAAAATGAAATAAAAATTAAACATTAGGTATGGTTTTGAAAATAAAAATAAAAATTTAAATATGAAAACGAACCAAAATTGATTTATGCATTAAATGTGTAGTTTACCCTAAATAAAAACATTAAAAATGTTTGTTTCACACGCCATGTGACATGCATCAATGATGAATAGTTAAAGTGAAGGTGGTGAATGGTGATGATAACTTGGATTGCAATCAATGAAAAACAAAAAGTTGTGTAGCCTAAATGCAGACAAAAGGGGAGACTTACTTTAGATTTGGACGGTTGGTGTGGGCAATAAAATTCAAACAAAACCCCACAATTCCTCACTACCATTGGTCGCCTAATATATCCTTATAAAGGCCCTCAAGACATTTGAATCCCCATCTTTTACAACACCATCTCATAAAATATATCAAATGAATTTTGATCGATTCACTTATTATTATAATATAAATAAATAAAATAAAATTAATTATTTTTTAATATATAATTTCTTTTAATTTTTAAAAAAATTAAAAAATTAATATTACATATAATAAATCATATAAAAATAAATAAAATTACATAATATTTTAAAAATAATTATCATATAAACATGTAAAAATATATAATCACAATCATCATATCCTTTTAGAATCAGATGTCACATCAAGCCAAATAATTTGTTGAATCCATAATTTTATACATTACAGTCATATTTAAAGTATTAATATATTTATATAATTCTTTGTAGATAATTAGAGAAAGGTATGCTAAGTTTTGAACCTAACTTCACATAAGTTTGTCATTTTTATATATTAATTATTAGCATGGCTTTTTTAACTAAATTTCATCCGTTTAAAAATTAAAAATTATCTCTTATTATGACACTCATTTTCGATTATTTTTCATATTGACATTTTTTATGTCATGTAAGGAAAAAAATACCTTAGGTAGGAAGTGCATTTGAAAGTGCGTCCTACAGACACGTTTTCTGCATACGTGAAGGCAATACGACCAGATGTTGGGCTAAATTGAAAACAAAGAGAACAAGGACCAAAAATAGGGGGAAAATAAATATTATCCAGAATATAAACACTTCTCTTGTACCTAAATAATGTGAGATTTGAAAATCTCTATAAACTTCTCAAATCACACATTGTTTAGATATTCAGGTTTTTAAGTGTTTAAATATATATTTTTTAAACATACATTTATTAAGTGATTAAACATAAATATAATATACATGCGCCATCATCATCACCTGGTTTGTGCTAGTGCAATTACATGTCTTTTGACACACCATGCATATATGTTTTTTTAGATAAAACTCATAATTATTTTTTTCCTATAGTTTAGCCCTTATTTTCTTTTCTTTCATTTCAACCAAACTTTAAAAGTTATGATTGTTAGCTACCACATCAGCATAAGATGCATCCTACAAAAAACGCCTTCCAAAGAGCGCTTGATACGAAAAACGCATTTACCTTATGTGGTACAAAAGGATGTCAATCTGAGAAATAATAAAATATAGGTGTCAGAATATGAAATAATTTTTAAACGACTGATAATTAGGTAA